TTTATTAATTTTAAATTCTAATATATTTTGTTATTTAAGTTAGTTCAAAATTCACTTTTTATAGAAGTATGTTTTTTTTTTTTGCTAAAATATAGGTATTCTCCTATTAGAAGCAATTCTATTCGAAACATTATTAGGCACTAAATATGAGCAACTCTTCTAACGGAATTTAAATATTGATTCATCATGTTATGAGAGGCTGACCTTTTCTATTAGACCTAATCCTTGTTGGTCTAGGAGTATGATTTTTTTTTTTATTCATTCAAATAGGATTTGAATTAGAGATGTGAAATTTGGGAGAACATATGAAAATTTAAAATTAATTAATTGTTTTCTATTTAAACCCCAAGTAACATACTCCTCCGGTCCTTAATATAGGACCCAATTGTTGAGTTGATTTTGGTCCTAAATATAAGACCCATTTCTCATATTTATCAGTTTTCTCTAAATTACCCTTATGGATGCTCTCTCAACCATAATCAAGTGGAAGAGGGAGAGGGGGTATTAAGAAAGATGATTATGATGTTTTAGGAAAAATGTGTCACTTTTCTTATAATTAACTAACTTACCTAACTTCCTTAATCTAATCAAATTAGTTTAATGGGTCTTATATTAAGGACCGGAGGAGTACTATTTATTTATAATAATCCCCTTTTAATTCAATACATTCAAATCCTAATTAACATATTATTCAAATTCAAAATTAATTATGAATTTCTTCATTTGAGCCTTCAAGTAAAATCTTGTTTAATAATGATGCTCCCCATTTAATTCAATATACCCAAATTCTAATTAAAATATTATTCAAAATCTCATTAATTAAATATATTTGATCCCATAATATCATATCCTATTCATTTTTAAACGAATAAGGTATCATAAGTTTTTTAAGAATATAGTTAATGATTGATGATTCTTAGTTTCATACTACTTAGACTAAACATTATAAGCTCTAAAACTACAACTCATGTTCACTGTTTTTTCTTTAGCACAAGTATTTTTCTATTAAACATAATTTTATTCAAAATACTGTTATATACTAAATATAAATATGAATATTAAGTTATGTTAACTTGTGTTAACAGTTGACAAAGCTACAAGACAACATGGGATGCCCTCCTCTTTCATTTGATATCTGGAAATATGTGTACACATAAATACAACTGGGCTGAGACAAATAAATTGCAAAGCATAATCAGGGAGATAACGAGCTAATAAGCCCATGAACATCAGATCAATAAGTCGAAGCCCAAGATCCCCTCGCACGGTGTTAGCACTTGGCAGAGTGGGGACATGGCAAGACGGAGTCCGAACTCAGAGGGAGAGAGGAAAGGATAGTGAAACGAAGACGCAGAGGGGCAAGAGAAAGAGCGTGGAGATTACACAGCTACCATCTCACAAATTAACGTTAGTAAAAAGGTTTTGTACCTAACACTTTTTCTCACCAGAATTTTGAATCTAACACAGACTAATTAATTTTAACTGAGTTCTTAATACCTGTCAAGTAGTTTTTCTTCCCTTCACAATTAAGACCGGCGATAGTACACGTACATTGCACTCAACCTAGGTTCCTATAAGCCCTCCATTGCGGATTAATAAATAAATACTACCTTTGTTTCTTAATATCAGAACAAGTTAACTAATTTTAAGAGGCTAAAAAATTATTAAATTATTAAATTATAACAAATATTACATGATCTTTTTAAGATACTTATGAGTATTATATATTAATTTTGTAAGCAAGTCAATTAATTAAAATAATAATAACTTTCTTAAGTTTTAAATTAGGAAGACCCGGAGTATTAAATAACCTTGATTGCATTTGGTTCAACTGCAACCTACAACCAACGTGTCGCCTATTTTGCGTTACGATATACAGTGTAGGTCAAGTTCGGATTTTGCAAATCTTTCTATGCTACATTTGACGAAATTATGGGTGAGTTTGGGTAGAGAGGAGGGTGGGAGAGGAAAACGAAAATAAACTCTTTCTATCATTTGGCTAGAAATTTTGGAAGAGAGGTAATATCTCCCTTCCCTCCTTCCCCTACTCTCATTTGGCTTCCCTTCAAATTAAGGGTATGTTTGGCTCAATGAAAGGAAGGGGAGGGAGGGATTTTAATGGAGGAAGGGGAGGGGAGGAGAGTGGAAGGATTTTAATATTATCTTGTTTGGATTTATAAAAAAAGAGGGGAGGGGAGGGAAAAAATTTTAATATGGATAATTTTGCTCTTATTTTATTAAGGTGTGGGTATAATGGTCACAACATGACAAAATATAGACATAATGGTTACAACATGACAAAATATGGATATAATGGTCATAATATGACAAAATATTGCCCTTTCCCTCCAAATCCTCCCAATTTTGTAGGGGAGGTTAGGGAGGGAGGGGAGGGGAAATTTTAAAAAAATTTCCCTCCCCTCCTAAAATTTGTGTGTTGCCAAACAAGGGAAAATGATTAAAATCCCTCCCCTTCCCTTCCCTCCCTCCCAAATCCCTCATACCAACACACCCTAAGAGTTTTTGGAGGGAAGCTAAATATATTGACTATTTTATTCTAATGATTTACTCTTCTGAGTCTAAATATAAAATTTTTGCACTAATATATATAAGGGTTTTATATTTAGGATCAGAGGAGTATGTAATATTCTAATAATGTTCTTAGAGATTAAAAAGAGAAAATCAAATCCAACCATTCCCTTTGATACCCATCCGTTATTGGCCTGTCATAACCTTCACTTACAACCCCCTTCCTCCACATTTTGCTTAGATGTTTGGTTGTTTTCAGATGTTCAATTAAAACACTATAATTGATTTGAAAAGATTTCTGGATGCTTTGATAAAAAGTTTTAAAAAATGACTACATTGATAAAGAAAATGTTAATCTTTATAGATTTGTTTTTTTTAAGGAAGATGAGAACAAAATGAAGGCAGCGGAAGCTTTAGAAATTTAAAAATATTAATGTATCAATTTTTTATACACATCCTGACAATATTAATATATCACTGTATCAATATCTTAATACACATATTATTAACATGACAGAATGAATTTTCATTGAATTATGTAATTTGAATTAAAATGTACATTAATTAATATAATATATAAATTAATATGTAAAAATAAAATGATAAATTAATTATTACTATTCCTCTCCTTTCTCTCTTGAATTAAATAAGAGGTCATTAAATATTTTTTCCTCTCTTTTTTTTTAGTCAAATCAAATGAAGTAAGGTTAAAACCTCACCCATTCCTTCTACCCTATCCTTCTCTCCTTTCTCTCAAACCAAATAGGCTCATAAGTGGACTCACACGTTATTAATTGACAATAATTCCAAATCAATCAACTTGGTTGCATTATTTTATATCAATCAACCTAATTCTAAGTATAGCAATTTTAGGGGAAAATAAATAAAAGGCAAAAATATCTCTCACCCTTTTTTTTTTTTTTTAAAACCATACTCTCTTTAATCACACGTTTTTTTCCCTTCATGATGCACTCATAGTTTCCTCATACAAAACGAGTTATTAGAGTCCACTAGATAATAAATCTTTTTAAAATTTAAATTAATAACATATTTATTAATTTTAATTTTATGTTTTTGTCTTCATAGATTAATTATTTAACTTTTATCCCCGGTGCAATGAACAATGTAATAAACGTTGGCACAGAACTGCCAAGTTGTCGTGCTATCGGAGCCTTGAATGGACTGGCACCGGAATTGGGCGCATTATCGATTGAAAAGGACAATATACACGGATCATGCATTAAATATGCTACCTCCTATTTTTAATATATTCTTGATGTATGAAGTAGTTTTATATTTAATTTAATTTTAAATATAAAATTCTAATTGATTTTATTTTTTTACATTTATTAACTTTTTTCAAAGTAGTTCAGCTACACATATAAATGTTTAATCAAATAGTAATTCTAATTAATACATATAGTTAACAAAAATAAATTATTATAAATAATTAATTTAATAAACTTTTGAAAAAATGGCAAATAAAGATCCTCAACATGTGAAATTGCTATTTGGGACTTTCAATTTGGAAAATGGTAAACAAAAACCCGATCTCATATTGCAAATATAAAATTTTGGTAAAATGTCTGAAATCACAACTCAGGTATACTTCAAATGACAAGTTGATTATGGAAAATGACAAGTTCATTTTAACGAATGACAACTTCAGTACACCAAATCACAACTTAGCTGAGGAGCATTTCAGACATTTCACCAAAATTTCATATTTATAATATAAAACCGGATCGTTATTTGTTATTTTTCAAATTGAAAGTCCCAAATAGTAACTTTATGTATTGGGAGGTCTTTATTTATTATTTTCTCTCAACTTTTTAATCTAGTTAACTAACTAAATATATAGTGCGAGGGAATATAAAGTATTGTAAACTCCGTTGGTTTACCGAATTTTCTATTCTTCAGAAGTGAGGGGAAAATCCGGTAATAGTGATTCTGTGTGGGTCTGAGTCAAGACGCAATATCCATGTATCCCAAATTAATAAATTTCATGGTCAGATGAATACGAAGCCTAGTTGAGTACACGTGGCAAAAACCATTTGGGATTGATCTCCTAAAACTGTATAGTCGATCGAGAAGTGAATGTGATGAGCAAGGATCGCATTACAGATATCCTTTTGGTGACGTGAATGTCATTAATTTTCTCTCCTATAGTCCATCACTAATTAGCAAAAGATTAAAAAATTTCTGAATCAATCTTGGGACTCCAATTTTGAACCCAATCGCATGCCGACCAGGCGGCCTGAGCAGCTTCCATCTGTAACAGAAAACCGTTACACCGCCTTCACTTGGTCTTCTTCCTAAATTCTCTCCTTTCTTCAAATCTTCAGCGGCATCGCGATTTTACCACCGAATTGTTCTTCTTCGGTGAAGATGAGCACCATTCTAGCTCTCCGACCACTTTGTTATTGCGGATTATTACAGATAAATGGCGAATGTAGAACGTCTGTGACGTGCCCGCATTCTACGGCTGAGACGTTAGGGTTTATGAAGCTTTTTGGAATCAATGTGATCGGATTAGATCACAGTCGTAGAAGTTTGAGCATGTATGGTAACAGCGTGAGGTCAAACATCTTCAAGCCGATTAAAGCGGAGAATGACTCTGGCGCGTCTTTGGTTAATGATTGTGCTGAATATTCTGGTACTAACTTTTAGATACTTCTTTTCTGAAGTTGAACTTCTCTAACACCTGGATGCCTGCTTTTTCTGTGATGCTTTTCTTGTTCTTTACTGTTCTTCCCCTCTATGGGAAAGATAGCTGGCCAGTAATTTTTGAGTTAGAAATTTCAACCATATTTGTCATAACTTTAGCCGCGGTGTTTGCATGAGGTCAGCCACAATGGCAAAGAGTATTGACTCATGAGTGGTTCATAGGAAATTAAAAAAAAAAAAAAAGAAACACAGTAGCCTTCTCGTAATGTTGTTCCGATTAACGTCAAACAAAGACGGAAGACCTAATGCAAGGTGAAACTCGAGTTTAAAGATCAGGAAAAAGCTATCCAGGAAGATTCTCGAAGAAGCAAAGTAAATAAAGGCAACAGCAAGTGTTATATGGAATTTTGTTTCCATTTGTATTGTTTCCTTTTCTCGCTCATCTTGTTGCTCTCGAATGATCTGAGTCTTCTTCTAGTTATATCAAGAAGACTTTGTCTCTGATTTTTTGTCTTTTCAAATTGATACTGAGATTCGTTAGACTAATTTCTGGGCATCTGATAAACACTGCTCACTCGCCCTTGACTTCTCTATTAGCGATCAAATACATGACCGTAATTATTAGGGTTCTAATTCTACAAATTATTATCTACACAGGTAATAATATCGGCCAGATGTCAAATATAGGGAAATCGACAAACATTTTGTGGCATGGAACTCCAGTTCAGAAACATGATAGACAAAGGCTACTTCAGCAAAAAGGCTGTGTCATTTGGTTAACTGGTCTTAGTGGATCAGGTTTGTGAAATAAATTTAGTTGAGGGCTGGCGATCTCAATTTCCTGAGCACTTGAGCCAGTATTTAAATGATGTTTGGGTAAAAGATTTATAAGGAAAATTAAAAAGCTTCTTCTGTATATATAAGCGAATCAACACGATGATAACTTTTTCCATATTCAAAACCCGTATCTGTCATTTTAGTAGGTTTCCTAATGTTTGAGAAATGAAAACATCCACTCGCCAAACGCTATATCATTTAGAAACAAACTGAGATTCAGAATGGATGAAGTCCATCGATCTTAACCGGATCTAAAGGCACAACTTGTGTACAAGAAATAGGTTGTGGTTCCATTTTTTTCTCATTTCATATTCCTCAAGATTATAAAGTAGTTTAATTCATTTTGTTGTAATGGCGTCATGATTTTCGCATGTTGGCTATTGCTTTACATCTACGCATAGGAAGAAACAGGGACTATTTATTTTTGTCTTATGATCGCTCTTTATAACAGTTAATTTTATAAACTGAACTGGGTTCTTGTTTCCTCGTTACCGCACTTTTTGCCCGATAAAAAGGATGATGGAGCACACTAATTTCCCTCAACTGTCCAAGTAAATATTGATATTGTGTTGGACAGAGTACAGTCTTTGAGACTATTGTTTTATATGATGATGACAAATGCATATGGGCACAAGGGAAAGCACTTATCCAAGAAAATTTATAAACCCAGCAAAGGAAGTGATTGTATTATTTATCCATCAGTGGCCTGTTATATCTTTTATAGGTGGACTATATACTGACACTCAAAATACTAACAAATTTTACAGCTTTAATTGCCATTGTCCAAATTTCTAATTTCTGTCTGTCATTGTTCCAAACAAGACCTATGTTTCTGTTCAGGTTCAAAGTCAGTATGAGGTTGTCGAAATTAACAATCCAGGCGAATTTGTGTTTGCAATGTTTCAATTACAATGTTAAAGTATAATATCACGTGTATTACTGTCAGACCAAGCTTACTGTTGTTTTGAGGTATGTTAACCTATTCAACAGCTTGGCCTCTGAGCAGCTAACAGTATCTTTCTGTGTTGGCTAGAAAATTAAAATATAAAGATGTTTGAAATTGTTCTATGACATAATTTGAAGAAGTAAAAAGTTATTGAAGCATGAACTTTGCTGAAGCAGTTCTTTGGTATACTATCAGTAATGGTTGTCCTTGCTGTAGAATATATACAAATGATGAAGAAAATGAATACATGCTCTTTCATTTCTTCAGCTATGAGGATGCATATATAACACACCTGAATTGGCGAGAGGTGTAATTCTGTTTAATGATGCCTTTCCTGAGATATTTCTGTAACTTTCATTCTTCTATAAACCGTTATTCTCTCTTTAATTCATCAAACACAAACATTGATTTTAGGGAAAAGCACTCTAGCCTGTGTTTTGAGTCAAAATTTGCACTCCAGAGGAAAACTGGCTTATATCCTTGATGGGGATAATGTTCGGCATGGTCTAAACAAAGATCTTAGTTTTAGAGCTGAAGATCGTTCAGAAAACATACGAAGGATTGGTCAGTTACTTTATATATGCATCCATATATTTTGTGCTTGGCCCTTAAACTATTTCATTTTTATTTTTAAAATTTTCAGCCATCATGATTTAATAATTTTCAGGTGAGGTAGCAAAACTCCTTGCAGATGCTGGTGTTATTTGCATTACGAGTTTAATATCTCCGTACCGAAAGGATAGGGATGCTTGCCGAGCACTACTTTCGAAGGGAGATTTTATTGAGGTATATGCCTTTTTGTTTTGATAGTCAATAAAATAATAAACGCACGAAGCTTTGCATTTCTAACATGACGGGAAAAGCAAGATTGTTGAACAAGAGAAGATGTTCTTCATGCTTCTACCGACAATGTTCTTATGCTCTAGGTTTTCTTAGATGCGCCCCTAGACTTGTGTGAATCAAGGGACCCAAAGGGACTCTACAAGCTTGCCCGAGCTGGGAAGATAAAAGGTATTTTGGTGTTATGCATCCTTATGATTGTGTCATTTGGCCGTGTTAGCTCCAATAAAATGCGTTATTAGTTTTCTTTCTTCTGCATTTCTCTGCTTATTGAAGTTATAGAGTATCAGTTCTCATTTGCAGGTTTCACAGGAATAGACGATCCATATGAACCACCATCTAGTTGTGAGGTGCGTATTTGGTACAATGAGCATATGTCAGTTTTGTTCAAGAGAAATAATGAATAGATACTACAGTCCTAAAATTCAAAGATTATATTCTCTTAGCTTAGGGTCAGCTTTATTAAGGATGAGTGAGATGATAGATGGATACTATGAATATCCATAATTCAAAGATTTTGTTTTGTTTGCTCGGGTTTTAATTTTGACAAGAGAGTTACTGATTAGTCCTGGCTTTGGCGGAGTCTTTCATTCTGTAATTTCTTTTCCTTCTCTTGGGTGGTCTGATCTAAAATGCAAGGCAACAGGGCCCGAACTTAGTATCACATAAATTGTAAGCCTATTTTGCGTCTAGTTTTCTCTTGAAAAGTCTAAGCGTTCTTCTCTAGTTGAATTGCAGGTGTTTTGCTTTCTTCCCCTGTTTCATTCTTTCCTGTTTTCTTTATAAAAACTGAATGTATGTCTGCTCAATGTTGCAGATAGTATTACAGCAGAAAGGAAGTGACTGTGCTTCTCCGGGGGACATGGCAGAAAGAGTGATAGCATATTTGGAGGACAATGGTTACCTGCGGGCCTAAGGGGCCTTCCTTTCTTGTTTGTTACTGTCATAATATTTATTTGTAATATTGACTGCAGCAATAAAGCTAGCTGCAAGGAAATAACTGTTTCCCGCAAGTCTGCTTCTATTCATTACAAAGGATTGGTTTTCTGCGATTAGTTTATCCATAGAGGGATGAAGGGGTCGTACGCCAGGGATATTAATTAATTACTTCTCAAATACCGTGACGCGACCCTTGAATGACTCTCTAAAAGGTTGCGAACATATGATGTGGTTCGACGGGAGGCGTGACTTCAAATGTGTAGCACGACTTTAAATAAAGAATTCTGCATGATTTCTCTCTCTCCTGCTTTTAAAACTTCAATGTGTGGTCGCCTCTTTAAATAAAGCTCTTTCATGTATTGTATTATTATGGAACCTGATAACAACCACGAAGAACTTGTGTATAAATTTAGATGGTTGTCTTGTACCGTCCAAGCGAATATCCTAACGGATTGCTGAATGATTTATCTCATGTGTAACCACCTTCTGTGATGGATTGGCATCATAAACCTCAGGAGCAAAGCAAATTTCTATGTCGTCATGCTTTACCCTCCTTTCTTTCCATAACTACAGCAATTTATTCGAGTCCCCAGTTAATCAAACTGGAGACGAACGTAACCCGGTGAAAATGATACTTGATGATGAAGGAATAAAAAGAACACAATATGAATCTATATCAAAGATATCTCTGAGCGGAGTAATAAAATTCAGGGATGTCGATTCTCAAAATAACCCACTATTGGCTATTAAAAGGGAAAAAAGAGCCAATACACGAGTGACCCAAATTTGATTATGAAACCAGATGAAGGAGAGGTACAGGAGATCAGGAAGAGGCAAAGACCATCGCACCTCCTGGTCGAGAATGACTGATGGAGAAGAGGCAGAGCACAAATGTGATGCTGATGGATATGGCGGCGGAGCTCACAGCGTCGAAGGTGGAGGCAAAACGCCGCTCTTGCAGACCCCAAATGGTTCTCACAAAGTAACCAACGTAATGCACCATCACTGCCAACACATGCGCCATCTTTCTCCCACTCTCACTAAATGCTGAGGACACTTGAGTGTAGGTGAATAAAAATAAGGGCCCTCCCATGCTTGCTTTTGGCTGCTTCTAACTCGAGAATTATTGTTGCTCAGTGTCCTCCCCAATAAAGATAGATTAGGTTGCTTCCGCGATGCTTCCTCTTTTCTATCTTATTCCAACGTCAAATTCGAAATGCAGTTACCGCCCCTTCACGTTCTCCACCTAAGACATATGCTGCATTTACCCGAATAGAAGCTGCATTTTAGTCATTGCGTCTGCTTGACACCTAACAACGGATGCCTCTCATCCAAATTCCAGTGAAAAAAAAAATGTTTTCCCAATACATTGCAATTAATTAATTAATTCAGTTTGGTCATAGAAAATATTACAGGTACTTTGCATTAAATTTGTACATAATTCAACTTTCTATTTTATATTAGCCACCTGGTGAACCTAAGCATCACCGTATTATTTGACATTAGAGCAGTCGACTAGTAATTTAGCTGGTAATGTACTTAAAAGTTGAAATTCCTCTCGGACCCGCCAAAATATGGATAATCAAAATTTCACAGCTTATAAAGAAAATTAATCATTGATTCCATAGCATATATCAATTTTCAATTTAGTCTTAATTTTTTTGGTAAAAAAAAATTTAAGTGAATTAGGTTCTAAAAGCTCATTATGATTAAGATATGTCTCCAGACTCATAAAGCACTTACAGAGATACTTACAAATCATCCATCAACTAGATTTTCATATCTGTAGCGAGATTTAAACTTATGACTTTGTGAGTTATAAGTCAACTCCTTGCAAACTGGAACAATTCTTGTTAGTAATTTAGTTTTAGTTAGTTTAAGAAGTTTTCATCCCGCTTCATACTCTTTGCATCGTTATCCAAGTTAATCCTCCTAGCTTTACATAAAGTTGAAAAGAGATCCCCAAACTAAATACTACTGTGTCACAAGAGCGACTCCGCAACATTTTTAGTGATGCGGCAAGCGCTCATCCTCAGAGGCGGACCCCTGTGCTGATGTGCAGCTTTGCGGGCTTACAATGCGAAAACAAACCTAATGGGTTCCCGGGAAGATAGTTCCCAATTCAAACAGAGAGTACCCTCATCCAATTAAATTTTCAGCTAGAAAGAATTTATAATTTTTTGCAACAATTTTATTACGTCCCTCATTTAATTCCTTTGATACAACGTCCCTCGTTTAATTTCATTAGCTTCAACACATCACTAATTTGAACCATTCCAATTCTTTATCCTTCTATTTCACTTGTAATACATTAGCTCCAACACGGAAGGAATTAGCACCGAAGATCTCCTCTAAGCCATTGTCAGTGTTTATACCCAAGCTGCATGTCCCGGGCCATGGAAGGTAACCATCTCTCTCCCCTAACCTTTTTCAAATTTTCAACTCTTTCCTTTTCTCTCTGGGCGGCAGCTTTTGCTGCCGCATCTCTAGCTTCTAGTCTAGCCAAAGCCTTCTGATATGCATCTTCTGCTGAAGCCATAATATCTCTCCCATTGACAGCAACAGAGCGAACCTGCCGTTTAAACTGTCGAAACAACATGTAATCATTAAGAAAATTGCTATGCATAACTAAGACACAATAAGGACTAGGATATAGATTCTAGAGATAGAGTGAAAGACCTTCTTTGATTTCTCATCAATATCCTCTCCAGGAAGTATTCTAGGTCTTTTTCTTGGTGGCTCGGGCTCATCTGCAGGCATATACACAACCTTCACCCACATATACAAATGTAACCTGGTGATATCTCGGGCAAGATATTAGAAGTACATAATATTTTAACATTTCTGTAAGTTTCTGGTTAATCAGGAGAAAAGAAAAGCAGAATCTTATTTAGATCATTAGAGTACTTGAATGGCATCAGCTGGCAAGAATGTCAAAATCAATCTGGCAGCAATCCGGATTTCGTTTTTAATTCCTCAAATTAATAATTACAAGAGAACTTCCTGCAACTACCATTTTTTTAAAAAATATTTTATTCAGCTTCAATAGCTTTTCTATAGACACTTCGCAAGTAGCATGAACTTAATGAATATAGAACGCAAGCATATGGCCACATCGATAACCTGCCTGGCCGGACCTAGTATTATAAGGGAGACCGCAAGCATGCTGTTCTGAAGCTAGTGACTTGCACAACATTCCCTTATGGGGCCGAGTAGGGTAAACATTATAGTCATGTATTATTACAAAGTAATGCAAAATTGGTAATGAAGAAAATCTTCAATTTTTCATATTTTAAGAAAAATAGAATGAACAGAGGAAAGAGAGATGTAGGCAGATCCAGGTTATAGTCATTAGTGTTTATAATGGAAGCCCTTTTGACAGCAGTATGCTATCAGCCACTGCTTTAACTGAGAGCTGCTACTGCATATCTCAGAAATGTGACAAGGACGCAAAATAACAATTTACAAAGAACCTTTTTCTTTATAAATTTTCATTAACCACAAACAGGTGAGCACCGCCAATAGCATTAGATAAAGCCCTAATATTAGTATGTTACCAAAATAGAACCATCCTAACTCTCCCAACCCAAAATCAACCATTTGTATCAAGACATGGTGATTATCTCAGTGCTTGACTTTAAAAAGCCAGAAGTGGCTGCAAAAATTGCTTACCTACATGATCAAACACTATTCCTGGCTGAGCATGTTTGAATAGGCGAACGCCACCTTCTTGGATCTTGGGATCCTCATCCAGGATGGGCATAGGCTCTTTTACAATCTCTAATGTGTTTTCTATGATGTCATCCAAAAGCCTTTGTGCCTGTCCAGAGCATCAAGAACTATTAATCATTGTGACAAGGCAAGGAGGAAGTTCGCATAGCAGATACAGAACCTAACTATCAGCAAGAAATCGGAAAATGAGGGACAAAAGGTAGAGGAGCAAAATAAGCTAAACGGAAGAAGAATTCTAGCTTTTCTTCCCCCCCCCCGGGGGGTGATAAGAATTCTAGCTTTTTATATAAAGACCCACAATACGTAAGTGATATGAATTCCATTACTACATATTGTTCCAGAGAAAAGATGAATTAGGTGATCTAAAAATCACTAAACTATACAAACAGCATGAATCTTCCTATATCCATAGTTGACTAGATGACATTGAGATTGGCTAAAAATAAATTTCCAAGATCGACGAGACAAATCCATTAATGAACAACAGTCTAGAGCAGACTTGCCGCACATTGTTCTTGATGTGCAGATATAAGTATAAACCAATCACCATAAACTAAATTTCACATAACAACAGTGAGCTCGAATAACCAACTAACCTACATTCTACAGACTAAGGGGACAACTAATCAGCCAAAAGGGAAAAGGTCCAATTCGTGTGTGATTTTTTATATACCTTTTGATTTGAAACTTAATCACTTCGAGCTTGTTTTAGCGTTAACAATGGTCCACTATCAACATCAACCAAACAGGTACAGATACCAATAAGCAGAAAATAGGAAGCATAGAGAACACTGACCTTGACTTGGTAGTGCTTCATCTGCTGGGTTTTGGGTTTCCGCTGTCCATCGTCGTCGTCATCACTGGGTTTGGCTCGCGACTTTTCCTTGGAGGCAGAGGAAGAGCCATTCATGAAAGAAGAGATGTAGCTGGTAGTTCCGGCGACGGATTCGATGGCAGCCCTCCACCTGGCATCTCCATCTTCCTCCCCACTGCTGCTGTCGTAGCCATTACCGGGTTCCCCCATTAAAATCTCTGCTTTTTATGTAACTATTTCAAGATTTCAATTCCACCTTCAGTGTCAGCCATAAACCCCTCAGTTAGGATTCTGTTTGGCAACTTTGTATTTTGATTCAAAATTCACTTGCAATTGAAAGATGAGGTGGTGGCACAACGTTTCTGAAACTCAAGAAAAAGGCGTGTATTTTTAGGGCTACGACTCTATGGGCCCAATACTTTTTCCATTCTGTGAATGAGACCATTCTTCTGTTTGTTACGATTCTGGGCCTCATATATCTCATTTGAGTCCAGGCCCAAATACCCATATAGATACAATTTCAGCAAC